GAACCAGAAAGGAATTTAAAAAACGAAGTAGATAATGAACAGGGAGGCGTGGGGTGGGGAGGGGGGGCATGGGGGTGAGGAGGGAGGCGTGGTGTGGAATGACGTGGCGTGTGGACGGTGTTGCGTGGGGAGTGACTTGGCGTGTGGGGGGCGTGGGCAGTAACGGGTTCAGGGCAGGGGTACGGGGTACCTCCTGAGGTTTTTGTAGTTAAGTATGTCAACACCGTTTATACCCCGTCAGTGCCCGGGGCAGTAACTCGGACAGTGACGCCCACACCTGCACGGCCTGCCATCTCAAATGCGCACACACACAATAATAACAATGGTTGCCCCTCGTGTAACGAGGATGGCCGGCCCAAGGGCCACCTAGGCATGAATTTGTTTTAGGTATAGAAGCTGTCGCCAACACAACAACCACACCCTGAGTTAACGAGCTGCATGACCCAGTGTCAAGGAATAGTCCGAGAAGACCGGACAACTCGACAACTGCACTGGCTAACCATTACCCCAGAACACTATCCGCAAATTGATTAACATCCAGGTCACCAATTATTGCTGGGTAGACAGAGGCAAATGGCGTAAAGAAACTTGCCCATAGTTTCACCCTGCCCGTAGATCAAACCCAGGTCCACACGCTTGCGAGGCGAGCATGCTGACCATTACACCACAGGTCGTCACACACACACACACACACACACACACACACACACACACACACACACACACACACACCACTCTGATTGCCTTACTAATTACCAAATTGATTGATTAATTGACTGATGAGTGACGGAGTGACTCAAATTCCCTCACTAACACACACACATTATAGATAATGTAGCGGAGGGGTGGTGATGGTGGTGATGGTGATGGTGGTAGTGGTGATGGTGGTAGTGGTGAGTGGTAGTAGTGAAGTAGTAGTTGGTGGTGGTGAGGTGGTGGTGATGAGTGGTGGTGAGTGAAATAGTGGTGGTGGTGGTGGTGGTGAACAGGTAGTGAGGTCATAGGTGTATTGTGTGAGGTAACCCAGGAGGAAGTGGAAGTCCTGTGTGGATGTAGTGGGCGACCTAGGGGCGGGTAGGCGTAGCATGTAGTCTAATGGGTGTGGGTGGAGTGGGTGGGTGGGTGGGTGGGCAGACGAGTGGGTGTGGTGAGGGTAAAGGTCGTTCTGTTGGGGTGACCTCTCAAAGCCTTCCTGGTGACAAGACCAACCACCATTAATCTCTCTCTCTCTCTCTCTCTCTTTCTCTCTCTCTCTCTCTCTCTCTTCCTGTTCTCCTCAATTCCAACATCCGCCTCCTTGTCCCAGTTCTTTTTTATTCATTGTGTGGCCTTTTATGTTTTTTTGTTATCTCTCCTCTCTCTCTGTCACTCACTCAGGATGTTTATATGCAACTCACTCACTCTCTCTCTCTCTCTCTCTCTCTCTCTCTCTCTCTACATCTTCTACCTCTCTCTTTCTATCTACATCTTCTACCTCTCTCTCTCTCTCTTTCTATCTCCATCTTCTCCACCTCTCTCTCTCTCTCTCTCTCTCTCTCCATCTTCTCCCCACCTCTCTCTCTCTCTCTTTCTATCTCCATCTTCTCCACCTCTCTCTCTCTCTCTCTCTCTCCATCTTCTCCCACCTCTCTCTCTCTCTCTCCATCTTCTCCACCTCTCTCTCTCTCTCTCTCTCAACTCTTTATCACCACTCATCTCAATAACTGTTTTTATCACCATTTCTTCCTGTATAACTCACCTCAAAATAAATAAACACATAAATCAACAGTTAATGTATTTTGTGGTATTTGTTCATTATTTTCTATCTCAAATTTTTGTCTTATTATTACTATTTACAATAATTTCTCTGTTTATTATTATTACTATTATTATTAAACCTTGTCTTTACTTCCTCTTTCATTATCATCATTTCTAATAATTTTCTTTAATATTTTCATCCTTGTTATTTTATTATTGTTATTTCCAATCGTTTCCTTTTCTTCACACTATTATCATCATTATCTCTACTTCCTGAAGACCTTAATTAGCTCTTCCACACCTGTCATTTGGCTTCTTCAGGTGAGAATTAATTAACGTATTGAGGGTCACTAGCTCTTACTATTAGCCGATAAGAAGAGATACTTTCACGGTGTGTGTGTGTGTGTGTGTGTGTGTGTGTGTGTGTGTGTGTGTGTGTGTGTGTGTGTGTGTGTGTCTTTCTGTGTGTGTGTGTGTGTGTGTGTGTGTGTGTCTTTCTGTGTGTGTGTGTGTGTGTGTGTCTTTCTGTGTGTGTGTGTGTGTGTGTGTGTGTGTGTGTGTCTTTCTGTGTGTGTGTGTGTGTGTGTGTGTGTCTTTCTGTGTGTGTGTGTGTGTGTGTGTGTCTTTCTGTGTGTGTGTGTGTGTGTGTGTGTGTCTTTCTGTGTGTGTGTGTGTGTGTGTGTGTGTGTGTGTGTGTGTGTGTGTGTGTGTGTGTGTCTGTCTGTCTTTTTGTTTGTCTATGCGTTTGTGTCTGTCTGTTTTTCTGTGTCTGTCACCCCTCTTGTTCCCGTCTCCACCAGCTACCTGTCTGTCTAATTACTCTCCCTATTACCGTCAATCACCTAACCTAACCAATCAACACCCTCACCTCCAATTACCTTCTCTGGTGAGTTACAGAGGTGAGTTACTGTTATCCTGAGTACCATTACAGCCTGTGTTATTCCTGTAATGTATTCTGTATTTGTGTGATGATGATGATGATGATGATGATGATGATGATGATGATGATGATGATGATGAGGAGGAAGAGGAGGATATTTGTGATGAGAATAGTGGTGAATGATGATGATGATGGTGATGATGATCGATAATTAATAATGATGATAACTGAAAACAAAAAAAAACAACGATAACAACAACAAACAAATAAACAACAACAAATACTAACAACATAAACACCGAACGTAAGAAAACAGTTTATTACAGATGCGTAACAAAAACATTATTTCTCTTTAACTCGTTTAAAAAAAAAACAAAAAAAACATAAGAAATAAACACTTTCTAAAACAGGTCTCATGATACAAACACCACCAAACAACAACAACAAACAAACAACAACAACAAACACACAAACACAAAAAAAAAACTCATGCAAAAACACTCAAAAACAAACCACCTTTTCGACCTAACTGCATGCAAATTTTTTTTTGTCACTGATTGACCGACAAACTAAAAAAAAAAAAAAAACATTTCTAGTTAACTTTCCACCAGTTTCCGTCTTGCCACACCCATCCTCCCCCTTCCTCCCTTACCTTCCTTCCATCCCTCCGTCCATCCATCCCTTCCCTCCCTTCCCCTCCCGTCCATCCATCCCACCCATTCCTCCCCTCCCTACCACACCCACCCTCCCCCACTCCACTGGTCCGTGATTGGCCAATTACACGAGGAAGTACTTGGGCAGTGAGTGAATGGCACTTTCTCTATCGACAGTGCCATTTACCTTGGTCTGGTAACTGATGCCATTCGGGATAGGTAATGGATATATTGGCCTACTTACAGTACAGGTATTTTAGGCCTAGAGTCTTAGTTTAAAATAAAGTGATCTAGTACCACAGCCTCGGTCAATACACAGCTAAATTAAGGCATTGTACTGTATAACTAAATCGAGCGCGTAGATTTTGTAGAATTTAATACAGCATTTACGTGATGCTAAGAATAAATAACAACAACAACAACAACAACAACAACAACAACAACAACAACAACAACAACGACGACAACAACAACAACGACAACAACAACAACAACAACAATAATAAAAATAATAATAATAATAATAATAAAAATAATAATAATAATAATACTAAAAATAATAATAATAATACCAATAATAACAACAAGAACAACAAGAACAACAATAATAACAATAATAATAATAATATTAATAATAATAATAATAATAATAATAAAAATAATAATAATAATAATACTAAAAATAATAATAATAATACCAATAATAACAACAAGAACAACAAGAACAACAATAATAACAATAATAATAATAATATTAATAATAATAATAATAATAATACCAATAATAACAACAACAGCAACACCCAACACGAACAGAAGACAGACAGTTTTATAATAAATCCTCCATTAACAAAAGCCTTCAACAAAAGTACAGTGCCTTCAACATACAAGAGTCCCCATGCTAACAAAAGCACTTGAGACAGGCTACCTTAAGAAAAAAAAATAATTGGGGAACCTTTGAGACTGCCGCCATAATAATTGAAAATAATGTCAAAAGTCGAATAATAATGATGATGATGACGATGATGATGATGACGATGATGATGATGATAATGATGATGATAATGTCAGTCATGATATTAAGTGAATAACACCGACTAGCTCTTTTTTTTTTCCTTTTTCATTTATTGCTTTTTATTCTCCTTTCTCCTGCTTGTTCCTCTTTAATTTCCTTGTTCATTTATCCTCATCCTCCTCCTCCTCCTCCTCCTCCTACTACTACTACTACTACTACTACCACCAGGAAAAGCCTATCATAACAAGAGTCAACAACCACCACCACCACAACACACGTCATCATTGTTGAGACAGTTTAATAAACTATCACGAACTTATATTGGTAAGCAAATATGAATATTAATTTTAACATTTACCTTCCACCAACAATATGACACACACACACACACATATATACACACACACACACACACACACACACACACACACACACACACACACACACACGTACACACTGTATTTCCAGACTTGTGTATAGATAAACCCCACGCACATACAGTATATAGAAATGCACATAAACATACATACACACACAAATAAACCCAGGAATACATACATACACAGATACACACCCACACACATAAGTACAAGTACAGAAATACACATATACACACTACTCATATAAAATACAAACACACGTATATGCATAGAAATATACATATTATACATATACAGTATACCCAAGAGAGGTGTATTTAAAACCCATTAAAGCTAACTAAAAAAATTAACAGGTGTATGAATGTATGTATGTATGTATGTATGTATGTATGTATGTATGTGTGTGTGTCTGTGTGTGGAGGTCACGTCAACACATAAAACAAATGCACGTGATAAAAACTGGTGTCGCTGAAGAGTTAGGACAACAAAGGTTACTCACTCAGCAAAGGTCACCTAGATATTACCGGTACTGCTGTTGGTATCACCCCAGGAAAGGTCACCTGTCTGTGTAATTTAATAGGTGTTTGTTTTGTCCACATTTTTGTATTTTTTTTTTTTTGTAATATGTCTCTGAATTTTTGCATTTTTTTGTAATCTGTTTCGGAATTTTTGTAATTTTGTAACAAGTCTAGTTAAATATATATATTTTTAAAGTAATTCATAATGTTTTGTAACTACGTCTCCAGAATTTTGTATTTATTTCTGTATTCATCACTGTTATTTGGAAGACAATTTTGCGTTATTTCTAAAATTATTTCCAAAGAATTGTAATTATTTTTGTTATGTGATGAGTAATTATTTGGGTATTTTTTTTATTAAATCTTAAGAACATTTATTTATTTATTTATTATTATTATATTATTATTATGATTTTCTTCTTCTTCTTCTTCTTCTTATTATTAGTTTTATTATTTTTAGTTTTGTTATTATTATTATTATTATTATGACTATTACTATTATTATCATTATTACTATCACTGACACATAATAATAATAATAAAAAAATAATAATTTCTCTATTTCCACCCCGTCAGCTCACAGAAACACCACATCTTGACTTACAGCTATCTGACAGGTCTTGACTTACAGCTATCTGACAGGTCCTGACATACAGCTATCTGACAGAACCTGACTTTTCAAACCAGAATATTATTAACATCTTATGGAAATATATCAATTATAATTTATCACCCCGACACACCTAATATTTCTCTCCTCCGTGACTGGTTGGTCCTTCCCTCGTGTCTTGGGGATGACTGGCCTTAAACTTTACCATACGGGTCTTATATAATGTGATGATGTGAGATTACCTGTGGTGCCTATAGTGAATGATTAAGTATGTCATCTCAACGTAGGCCTTCCTTACCTGTGTTTACCTAGTCTTACCTGTCATTAACTAGCCTTACCTGCAATTAACTATCCTTACCTGTCATTAACTAGCCTTACATGTAATTAACTAACCTTACCTCTCATTAACTAGTTTTACCTGTCATTAAGTAGCCTTACCTGTCATTAACTAGCCTTACCTGTCATTAACTAGTCTTACCTGTCATTAACTAGCCTTACCTGTCATTAACTAGTTTTACCTGTCATTAACTAGCCTTACCTGTCATTAAGTAGCCTTACCTGTCATTAACTAGCCTTACCTGTCATTAACTAGCCTTACCTGTCATTAACTAGCCTTACCTGTCATTAACTAGCCTTACCTGTCGCCTTACCTGTCATTAACTAACCTTACCTGTCATTACCTAGCCTCATCTCTCACTACCTGCCCTCATCCCTCTCATCTATCTATCTATTCTTCCACTACCCTCATCACCCACTCCACCTATCCCTTCCTCCAACCCTCCAGGCGCCGAATACATCAACAACAAAACATATACGCACTCAAGGATAGGTCAAGGAAGTCACGAAAACGACGCCACGGACACGACGCCACGGACACGACCACGGACACGACGCCACGGACACGACGCCACGGACACGACGCCACGGAAACGACGCCACGGACACGACGCCACGGACACGACGCCACGAAAACGACGCCACGGACACGACGCCGAAACGACGCCACGGACACGACGCCACGGACACACGCCACGAAAACGACGCCACGGACACGACGACACGGACACAACGCCACGAAACGACGCCACGAAAAGACGCCACGGACACGACGCCACGGACACGACGCCATGTACACGACGCCACGGACACGACGCCACGAAAACGACGCCACGGACACGACGCCACGGACACGACGCCACGGACACGACGCCACGGACACGACGCCACGAAAACGACGCCACGGACACGACGCCACGAAAACGACGCCACGGACACGACGCCACGGACACGACGCCATGTACACGACGCCACGGACACGACGCCACGAAACGACGCCACGGACACGACGACACGGACACGACGCCACGAAAACGACGCCACGGACACGACGCCACGAAAACGACGCCACGGACACGACGCCACGGACACGACGCCATGTACACGACGCCACGGACACGACGCCACGAAAACGACGCCACGGACACGACGACACGGACACGACGCCACGAAAACGACGCCACGGACACGACGCCACGAAAACGACGCCACGGACACGACGCCACGGACACGACGCATGCACGACGCCACGGACACGACGCCACGAAAACGACGCCACGGACACGACGCCACGGACACGACGCCACGGACACGACGCCATGTACACGACGCTACGGACACGACGCCACGCACCAGTTAATATCCCGCTAG